TTGTAGGTGAGTTTAATCTTACTGAATCTCTCCATGGTATAATAACACATGCATCAGCTATTGGAACGTTTAGTTTTCATCTGGGACAGATGACAGTACTGGAATGGGAGTCTCAAAGCTGAACATACTTTTAATACTTGAGAGTTTGCAGTGGATGTGTTTTTGTGCTGGAATCACAGGTATATTATGCAAATTTCAGGTGCCATGATAATGGTAACATTTATGGCAACAATAGGTTCTAAAAAAAGACGTCTGTAGCAGAAACTTTTAAAAAAAGTGAAAGAAAGAATTTATTTCCTAAAATCAATAGAGAGTGGTCAGAGCTATGCATAGAAAGAAGTGTTCATTATATTTGACTAATTGACCAGAATTTTACCAATAATCAAGTTTGAAAAGAAGTCAAAATGCATTTAAAGAAACATGTTTATCCATTTAATGATTGTGTGAACTACTGTGCATGCTTATCATTACAAAAATAAGAAAATCACATTGTTTGATAAAGCAGTAATTAAGGGTATGAGTTTTGCTTATTTTATCTTAAGGTAAAACCTGAACTCCTGCTTTTTTTTTTCCTGCTGAAAAGTTTATAGTTACTGTCGTCTTCAAACATGTTAATCTGCAAGTCATCTTTTGTGATGATAAATCTCCACTCTATAACATTGATCATAATTGCAGAGATATCTTCACCAAAAAGGGAAGAAAATATTGTTAGTGGTGGTTTTTTTTTTTTGTTTTTTTTTTTTTCAGATTGTAGAGGAATGATGACATCCTAATCAGTCTAATGTAACACATGTAGGTTACAATGACAAGACAGCTTGCTTTACTCAGCCTGTACCAAGCCCATGTCAAGTGAGGTCAACGACTAGTAATCATTTGTCAGACTGCATGTCCTTATCAGCCAGTTATAGATACAAGGAACTTTCTGTCACATCCACAAGTGGCAAAGCCACAAAGGATTTAAACCACAGTACGATGGTGACACTTTTTACAGAAAAAACACAAATCTAGACAAAATGCTAGCCTGAACTGCATCGTATTTCCATTCAGCAATTTTAGTAAACACTTCTTAATATCATTGGTTTTCCTTAAAATTTTAGGGACCTCGTAGGTGCCTTCGTTTTAAGAGGTTTCTTTTTTATTCACAGCAAACCCACTGATGGGAACTAATTTAAACACAAAAGATCCCATTGAAGAAGCAACTGACTTGCATGTACACAGCAGACAAATCTAGCTCATTTTACAAGTTAGCTGCTGGACTGTCTTGAGGAGGGCCCTGAATCCTACCACTTCAGAGCAACTGTAACATACCAGTGTGAGCTTCCAGCAGCCCAGAGGAGATAGAAGTGGAACCAACAAGGGAGTAGAGTTCTCTTTATGTCTGGTAATTCTGTGCAGGTAACTCTGACCAAGCCCACAGCAGAGGCACAGACAATACTTCAAAAGATCCTTTTCATTGACTGATATACTAATTAGCTTCTGCAGGTTCCAACCACCCTTGGAAAAGCTGTCAGCCCCACATACATGGAGTAGTTTGGGAAGGCTGTTGATTTTAGAGCTGTTAACATACGAAACCCAATAGGGACAACAAATTAAACCTCAGTTTAACAATTATTTTTATTTATGAATGAAACACAGCTTGATCACTGATTCTTTGGGTTGAAACCACCGATCAATAGACTTTCTCATAAAATGATGCCTGTGTTTTATGTGCTGATGTTACGTTCTTGGCTATAGTCCAAATCAGACAGACATTGCCTACCATCAAATCCCTGTGCCCACAATTCACTATGTGAATACCTTTTTTTTAACATGTAGTCAAATGTCTGGGTAAAACCTAACTGATAATCCGGCTATGTACATTTTGTATGAAATTACTTCAGTAAAACATACTTCTTGTGAAAGTATATCCAATGAAATGCCAAAATATTTGTGCCCTACTTTAGTGCAGTTTCTGGGGAACAGCTGTTTGAACTTCAGAGGAACAAGTTTTATTTGGTAGCTTGGGAAGAGTTGAGTAGGATGCCAACAGAGAATCTGGTGAGGCAATGCTTATAAATGCTTTCAACTTATTAAAAAACCCTCTCTCAAAGATAGAAAAATCAGCTTTTATCAGAGAGAAACTTTCTGGAGAGCATCTGTAGAAGTTCAGAAAATCTCCATAAAATTAGGCTCAAGTGACCTTTTCCAGAGAGCAGCTCTACATTTTGCAGTTCAGTATGGCTGAAATTCCTCTAGAATATTTACTTTCTTTCAGCGTTTCCATTAACGAAACTTCCAAACCTTCTAACGACACAAATATTTTGCAGGACAAATGCTTACTAAGAAGATGCAGCGTACACAGCAATTTCCAGTCCCTGCACTGGAGGAAGAAATAACATAGAGTTCAGCTGGGACCATCTAGCGTATCAGTCAGTGGGAAGTGCATAGCTAAGGTTTGTAAGACCGCACATCATCTGGCTCATCTGGCTCTGTGGCCTCTGCAGTCAGCCTGTCTCCTTTCATTAACTGGTTCTATGCCTTGCAAAGCAGCATGAAGTGGAGGTGATTTGTATTGCAGTAGCAACGTTCTTGGCAGACTTATGACCTTTACCCAGTGGAACCAATGGAAAATGAGTCTATCTGGGTCTTTTTATTGACTGTATTTCCATTATCTTCACAGGTGCTTTCTTTCCTGGCTTGTTCTTTTATCTTATTATGGACAGAAGCTACATTTACTGGACAATAGCTGCCGCATTGCTGTTCTCATTTCCCAGAAAATACCTCTACTACACTTTTTAAAGTTACTTGAGACCTGTCAAATTCTTTATCACTCTTTACAACAAACTATTTGTTGCTTCAGTAAGTGCATCACGTAACTGTCTTCATACCATGGCATTTATACTCACTCATCTACATACGATCCATCAATTTTTCAACTATTCTGTGTGTTCCCTTACATAGCTACAGTAGGCTTATAAAGATATAGACATTTTCCAGTTGCTCATACATTTCTTGTTAAAATTGGCTTTAAAAACAGTTTAGGAACAAAGTTATAGAATTACCATTAATTTTATCTCCCTCTCATTTAGGTACACACCCTCTGTGAAAAACATTACAGAGTTTTCCATTATAAATGGAAGTTAATGATGTGAATAATGGTATTCAAGTCACATCATCTCCAGTTTTTATATCATGATGCAAACTGACCTCGTAATTTTGTCATCTTCTGTATTTACAGCCCAATAATGCTTTTCTGGCAGTTCATAAGGGCTACTGAATTTATGATGCACTTGCAGTCAGGTATTTTACGAATACTTTGCCTGCATTTCTCGAAAAGGATTTCTAAAGAAATTTAAGTCTACTGTGTGTACTGGATTAAAATAGCATAAGAACTAAGTAATAATTTATACTATTTTGTTTTAAATTTTATTATGTGGAATACAAGTTTTCATTGTTGATCGTATTAACTTGATATGATGAAACATTTTATTTTTACAGATAATGGTGTTTATTCTGTTTTTCAGTATATAAAATGTACTGAGTACCAAATTGCTTTAGCACATGCATAGAAATAACTTAATAAAACCTGACTCAACCAACGTATGGACAAAAAGAAGACAAACAATGTAGCTTGCACTAAAATATAGGCAATTCTAATGCAATCAGAATTATGAAATCGATTCTGGAATAAAGAGTCCTCAACAAAGTGTCAGTCACAAGGTACCTGATATCATATTCTGTAGGCTACAGTCAAGTGTCTTTGTCCACTTCAGCCACTGTAACAATTCACAAGGATAGAGACAGTTCCTTTGATAATGGGCACCCAAGGCAGAGAGGCTTTCTAGACCAATATGGACACTTTGATTTACATGTGAAAGGGAACAGGAATCCAGGGTTATACTTGTAACTCCAATAATATATTGTGTGCACTAGGAAACGTATGGCTGCATGTTGCAATAACTGATGCATCTGGTTGAACATGCACAGCAAGTTTCATAGTGTTCACTTCACAAAATCTAACAAGAAGATAATAAAAATGTGGATGGCAAGTGAGACAAGTGACTGAAAACATCTTGAGAAATGCATATTATCCTGCATAACTGACTGGCTGTGCACTATCATAAAACATTTCAGACTGTTTTTAAAAGATAAAGAATTATCTGAAATATCCTCTCCTCCTGTGTCTCCCAACACACATACATTGTCTAGTTAAAATTTGGACAAGCAAAATCCACATTGATCACATCATGAGAAAGTGAAACAGGACTACTTTTTAAAATAAGTACACCTCTTGTTCAGGTTGTTAAAAAACTGACAAAGTGATGTTGGGGTTTCACAGGCACAAGGCAGTTCTGAAACTGGACAATTAATTTTGATGGCCTCAATTTGATTATTTCTCCCTAGCCAGCCTCTCCCCTTGTCTTCAAATCCCCATCTCACCTTATATTAAAGTCACAGGGATTTTGTTGCTGATTCCAAACAAAAAGGATCAAGTAAAAACCTGACAACCAAAATATGTTGTAGACAAGATCCCTTTGAACTATCCCACAGCATTGGAACACTCTCTCCTGACTGGGCTATCTATTAAAAAAACCTGTCTAAATACGTAACATTAAAACCTTTTGTAACAAATGGATTCCCTGACACCTACAGTCATGTACAGAATTCTAGTTCTAAGCCTTCAAAGCAGAGAGGGAGAGAGGGAGAAAGAAATGTGAGAGTGAATCTATGTCAGATGAGGAAGATTTGCTGAATCACGCATCAAAGCCGGTGTAGGAGCAAGGCCTATGTCAGTTACTTTAAGTACACAGTGATACATCCAAAACATACAGAATTCAGCTCTGCATTCCAGGACAATGCCGACATACTGCAGACAATGACTAAAATGAGCAATAGTAAAGCCTTCTGAGAGGAGGTTGCAATTGAAAAGAGATTTAAGATTAAATCAAACAATGTCACATTTAATATTCAGAACACTCTCAACTGAATCCTTACTGCCTGGGCTATAAGTGGAATCTTACCGTGGGTTGGAATGAGAAAGTGGGCTCATTTCTTTCTGATAGTGATGCTCCTGACTGACGGGCTATGGAAAACAAAAAATCATAGTGAGAAAATAACTTTGCAAATATTCTTTCAGAATGTTTAAAAATATGTAAGAGATCCTTCATGAGAATACGTTTGCAGCTTCTGATATTAGAATTTTACAGTCTTTTTTCTTACTTGTGAAATTTAAAAGGCATATTTAGACCCTAACTGTGCAAAAGTACAACTTTACAGATGATTCTTGTCTGGGTGGAAATACATATGAATTAAGGAGTCGACCACATGGTCATTTCTCTACTGCCTGTGCGAGTGTTGGGACAGAGTCAGGAAATGGAGAGGGAAGGGTGGCAAAGTCTTGTCTGACAGAAGAGTCTGGAGCGTACGTGTATAGGGAGTATGGTGCAGGAACGCTTTGTTGGATCTGTGCAGACCAACCGTTCTTAAAACTAGACAGTGCTGAGCCAGAGCTAACCAGGCTGGCAGGCATGGCTCCTCTCTCCTCAGAAGCACCATTAACAGCAATCTCAGCAGTCCCAAATAAAGTTTGCTGAAGCACATATGCTTCCCTATGGCACTGCCAATTTGAAACCTGGATTAAGCTGTTCATGAATAGCTAACGGTGGACTGTATGAATATTCATACAAAATATGATTATTTTCCATAATCTTCAAATCTTACCTACCCATTGTAAGAATGTGCCCCAAAGCTTTTAAACTACATTTGGTTTATGGCATTAAGAACAGTTATTTGCAAGAAAGAAATATTCATAAAATGGTATAAAAATTCAAGACTTCTAAAATTCAAAATACATTTTCTCTCAGTATACATGTAGTGCTCCCGGAAGAGACCCCCTCCTGCAATTATCACACCTCAAAAGCAGTTCTAAACAAATCACTGAGGCAAATGCAGAAGAAGTGAAAATACAAGCATACCTTAACAATACTAAAAATTTAGTACAGGAAATGCTAAAAATAAATACTAAGCATTATGAAAGCAATTGCCTTTTTACAGAAATCAATGGAAAAATGAGTGCGTTCTCATAGTTTCAGGAAGTGCGGAGGTATGTTGTAAAATATATGTTCAGGATGAATGACATTGTAATTACTGCCAAATATGAGTCACTGCCTGGTGGCGGATAGTGCAATTCCCAAATGATGGCTAGTGGAAGACTGAGGATGAGACAGAAAGTGAATTAGTCAGTCTATGAACCAGAATATCTGTCTAAATAATTTTTAGTCTCATTTCATAGTAAAGAATAGTCGGCCTCAGTTTTGCAATTTGACTTGATGTGAACAGATCCCTCCAGGGGTTGTCAAACTGAGCTCTCTGTTGGAATAATTCTGGGTTTAAATATCATTCCTCTTGTCTGTCAGACTTCAGTTCTGCCAGACCATTTTTGAGTTAAGTGGCTTTCTTTTCTGAATCATCACAAAGGAGGCCAGAAGACCTTCCACAAATTAGGTATGAACCTGGAAGTACCCTTTGAGATATTTTGCAGATCAAGGCATATGTGACTGAATTTATATTTAGGAATTTGCTTGAGGAACAAGTAATCTTTCTTCGCTTTGAGTACTCCTTACTTGAAAGACAGGTCTTAGTGGTGAACATATTTTGGAGTCTGCATTATACCGCTACAAGCTTCTAGGATATATTAATGAGCAATCTAGGAGAATCTTCCTTCTCCTCTGCATTTCTGACCGAGAATCGGGGACCACCTGGAAGAAGATATCCTGAATTCTCTTCTATGTGGTCTTGCTCCAGAATGGTTGGGTTCTATTTGAAGTGGTGCCTGCTGTGTGGGAACAGCTATCCAAGAAGCTGAATGGGCCAATTACCTGACAGGGCAGGAAGGTCTTACTGGATCTCTAGAACAAAGGAAGGCATTTAGGCAGAAGTATTTTGTAAGCTTTGCAAGTTTTCTTGGACAACCTGTATACGTGTAGGTATAAACCTCACATTATACTCTGTGAGATACAGAACTATGTCTTTCATATTGTTGCAAAGCTAACATGGAATTTCATAGACCTTAAGGTTTAAGATAACATTCAGGTAAGACACAGTCAAATAAAGTCTTTTAAAATATTTAGTTCTACATACACATATTATTGATCTGGAACTATGCCCCCCACACATGCTACAAGGGTTTACAATTCTCCTTCAAAGTAAATCCATTTTAAAATAAAAGTTTTTCATATTTATAACTGATAGCTATGCTGGGTAATGTATAAAATTCAAAGCTATTTTATTCCTTTTTGGTTGTCATAGTTTACAGCAGCTGCTAAACAACTTACATTTCAACGATATCTCCTGACAGCATATATTCAGTTCTTCGTAAACTATCATAGGTTATAAAATACAGTTTTATTGTATCCGTTTCATAGTTGTTTAAGGACATCTGTTCTAACTGCAATGTAGCAATATGATTGATCTATGTGCCTTCACATTCAGAAGGGTTTCTGAGATTCATTAGAGTCAGTAACATGAGAATTTTCAATGAATGTGGAAATCAGACTAACAATGGCAAGTGATGGAAAAAAAACACCCCACTAAAAATGTATTTTATATATAAAATATTACTTTGATACAGAAGTTCACCGTTTAACATGATTATAACCTGCCCTGCATTGCAAAAAATCATAGGTATTTCAAAATGAAAGATACACAAAAAGCTGCCTTCTGGTGGAGCTGTTGCTACAGATTCCACTGAAGGACAAAAATGTTGTATAAAAGGAAAGAAAATTTGGAATAAAAATACTGCTTACTTATCTTTGAAGAACATAAGAGAAAGCAATAGCTACTACTGATTTAAATAATCAGAAAGATACAACCTGGAAACCCATGTAAGCATGAAAGTTTAATCATGACAAGAATTTCAAGCTGTCCTTAATTTCTCAAACTACAATATGAGGATTATTTCTATTTCTTACTGCACTCCTAAAATCAACTCAAAGATGGTTACAGACACGTACAAACTTTTCTGCAGTTTGTACATCTGATTTTGGAAGGATTGATGATTTGCAAATTCTCTTTACTCAACTCGATGGTGGTGCTAAAGATCAATGACATAAAAACAAATTTGCTTTTATTCTACACGTTTTTTTACACAATGTATATAAGAAGTAAATATACATATAAGGAACACTTCTTGGTAAAAAGTGGAAGCTGAAGAAGCAATGAGTTTACTAATTTTAAGTCTTAGAGCAAGACCATGCATGGCAGAAGACTGAAATCCAGAAGGAGCGACCTTTGAACATGTTCTAATCACTCCAACTAGGCTGCATTTTGCTCCCTCAGTTATGTAGACTACCTGTGCATACAGCAATACATTTACTGCACAAATGAATACTATGTGTGGGGATTCACTGAAAACAGCTGTATGAAGTTATCGGACAGATTTGAAAGCCAGAGGGAAGAATTAGATCTACTCATGATCAGATGTATATCACAGGCTATTAAACTGTAGATGACCAACAAAAAACACTGAACATCAGATCTAAACCTGAATGAACCATGCAGTGGGTCCCTCTGAATATACTCTACTCACAGACAATTCCCTGCTGACTGCTTATATTTGTCAGCTGATCAGTTCTAAATTCATTCAAGGGGTGCTTTATCAATATTGTATGCTGCTCATTTTTAAACAAATATTTACAATGGTCTTAACATGTTACATCTAAGCGGTTCCCTTACCAATGGTAACTTTATCAACAAAATTAGATTTTTTGAACAGGATGTATTTGCTATAAAATGACCTTGACTATCATCAACCATATTACCAACCTTTAAAACTCTGTTAACTGAATCCCAAACCAGGTTTTCAACGACACCAGACTAACTGGCCAACATTAACTTTTTCATTTCAGCTACCCATTTGAATACTGGCACAGCATCACTACTCTCAAAGTCTTCAGAAATGTTGTAGGCATATAAAAATATAATAAAATTTAACACCAGCATACCAAAAAGGCCCCCAACTACTCTTTTAAAAGCTTCTGTGTTAAACAACTTGGGATGATTATAGAAAATGAATTAGCATCCTCACGTGACTACTCTATTTTTTCAAATATTGGAATGAAATTACATCATTAAACACGTAAGTCCATATGCCAAAAACTTATACCACATCTATGAATAGCTGGTGCCATGGCAGCTATCTCAGAAAAGAAAACAAGAAGTAAATCAACAGATACTGTGGACTAACTGATACTGTACTGGTACAGAGAGTCCCTTTGCACAAAGGCAGAGGTATACAGGTAGGGAAGACCATGGAAGCTGAATTTCAGCACTGTTGGCTGTAGCGACGGACTAAGTGGTTAATCCTTATGTGAGAAAGATTACGTTTGCTTTCTAAATCACCTCTTCCAGAAATGACGTTCTTGTTATTAAATCTTAAAACCTCAATGCCCACCTAGCAAACTGGAGAGGAGAAACCTGACAAGGCTGTATGCGTAAGACACACCAACACTTCAGTCGACTGAATGAGATTTGAAAAACTTCTCTCTCAAAGACAAATATGTTGCCTTTTACACTTGATTTATGTAGAGAAAGACGGCCACAAAGGACTATTATGAAAAGCTACAGCTATATTAAATTACAATTTAAATGACTAACCTATTATATCTAAACACTTTTTTCAAGTGATGCTTCTGAAGCTACAGAAGCTGATCAAGGCAGTAAGATCAAAGAACTGTCTTTACAATCATATTGTACTTCACTGAATAATAGAGCAGTACATTTTACTTTAAAAGTTCATTTTGTTTTAGTCATGTAATTTGTATTAACCAAACCTGACATGTCTAAATATTCTTATCAATTTCCTTATAATTAAACTACTCAGAAATTAATGAGACCGCTATTCTCTTTATTTAATTGAGTTCCATTTGTCCAGTCTTGCAGATTTACACCACGTTTGAGTCTATTTAGTGAGTACTGAGAAAACGCATTGGATATATGATGAAATCAACTAAATGTATAATGTTGATGTATCTCAAATAGTTAAAACCAACTAATGTTGCTCTGATATAATGCAAAATATTACTTTGTAAATCAAGCTCTTATTTGTACAACTACCCACTTATTGATACATCTCTTCTCATTTGAAACCTTCATTTATCAGCGTACCACAAAGTTCCAATGCTGTGTTGATCATTCACTATGGAAGACTGCTACTACAGGCCTCTGTTTGGGCCCTATAGATCCCTGGAGTTAATTTGTACCTAACATTTTACAGCATTGACCCTACAATAGTTTATATCGGGGCACCGCAGCAGTGTTTACTCTTCTAATGTTGGATCTGCCTCTCAGAGTTGTGTTATGTCCTTTACTTAAGCCAGACTCATTGTTTATTATTGTTTCACCTATAATAAAACAAGAAGTATGATGCTGAGATATAAATGGAGTATGAGGTTATCTAGTTTTACAGCAGCTCCTGCAAGTATCTTTATATAGCTGCTGAAAAGTTATTCTGTGATTTCATACACTGAATATTCTTCAGTGGACTGTAACAAACATTCCTCTGCATCTTATAACAGTACTCTGTCAAATAGTGCAGCTGTGTGTGATTTTGTACCACTTCGTACCAGGCAAAATAATAATACAAGGTGTAAAATACAGAAGGATCACATACTAAGTGCTCAGAACTACTGCAGACTTTTGCTGCTCTTCTCCTGCTTCAGTCCTTTAAGCAGTTAGCTTTTCAGTAATGAGACTTTATCACTGTAAGAAGCAATTATTTTCCATTACTCACTGTATAATGCAGTTGATGACTGCAATATCTGGGTTTCATTCATTTTGGAACTATTTTTAAGTACTATATCACACACCTGCAGGTTGTCAGCTACTATTGTGACAAGCTGTCCAGCCTACCTGATTATTCAAGATTCTAGGAGGGAACATATATAACAGAACCTGCTGAAAGTGAACGTGTTTTGGTTGTGTGTTTTACTTGGTAAGTTCTAAAAAATGTCTGGTAATGACACCTTAAATTTCAAAGCTACTCAAAGGCATTTTAATATTCAAGACATCCGAGTCTCAAAATTGATAGAAACTATATAGAGAAAATACTGTGGGTTTAGACTTACTGGTGGGAAACAAGAGTTCCAGGTTGCTGTATCATCACTGCTTGTACTTATGCTAACATTGCAGTTGTCTATCTGCGACGCACTCAGTCCATGCGAGATCCCAGTATCCCTCAATTCTTCATTTTGTTGTCTCTTCATGCTAGCCAGCATCTGTAGTTCAGATGAACTCAGTCTATTTGACTGGTAGTTTTTCCAGTCATACTCCTGTGAAATAAAATGGAAAAGTCAACAATATAGACAGGATCATGGAACAGAATACATGTATGAAACAGATATATTGGAGAATCTTCTGGGGAATCTTCAAGAACCTAAAATACTAAAAGAGAAACAAAATGTTTACTAGAAAAGATTAGTTAACAGATTTCTGTTTGACTATGAAGATCAGGCATATTTACACATAATTAAAGGAAGGAAGAAGAACACAAACACTGCTACGGACTGTAGTTTGGATCCAGGGTGTTTGGTGAAGTTGCTGTTCCACTGCAATTAGAAGATAAAAGCAGGCTTTCAGAAGTTAAAAAATCCAGCAGCTAAAATTGCTACAGCACTAAATGCCAATCTTGAAATAAACCCAATCACACAGTTATCATAGTATCATAAACACCATCAACATAACATTTAGTTATTTGTCAAGCACAGCATAAAATTTCTCTGGAAAGCTACACGTCAGCACTAAATTTTAAAAGTTATTTTGGTAACTTGCTAGCGTATACATTTTAAAATAAACATCACTATATTTTCATTTTTCTTTACATTCATCGGTTGAATTGTTAATGTAAGTCTAATTGTTACATCAAACATGATCCACCGGCCAAGAGCTAAAAACACGTATTGACTATTTTGCAGTTTGTACTTACACCTCGCACAAAACCTCATGATAAGATTTTTTAAGTTCACCCAATCTGCTGTGGCATTACCTTCATTTAAAGAACTTGTCCGTAAAGAAAAACTTTCCCTTTTTTAAAGGGCCCACATAGACTGCTCTTTCTCAAAGGAATAGATCTAATACTTGAGGCCTCCAGTTTTGGTTCTGATTGGAATTACAAAGGATTTCTGCTTGAAAAGTGAATCCAAGTAGTGACCAGGAGTTCAGAGAATTTAGATCACTGGCAGCTGGGCAGTGGGCTGCAAGACACTACATAACAGTATCCCAGAGAGGGACAGTGCTTTGATTCTAGTGAAGAGAGGGCGGCTTTTCAGACCAGGAGTTTATCACGTTCCTGGCAGAAGGGGCAATCTCACAGCCTGTTGTGCTGTGGGGAGGTACAGGGTGACTGAAGACCTCAAGGGCACAAGCAAGTCAGCAGTACTAATGCCACGAACATTGCTAACTTTTTCCTGCTATGAACTTCAGTGTGTAGTGTTTCAGTGTTTTCTGGGGGTACAAAAGTCACCTTACCCCCTGAAGACACACTGAAATATTACACACTGGAATTACTACTACAACCTCCTCTGCTTTATTCCTGTGTATATGAGACACATATCTAAGTCTTCTGTGTGGTTTATAATATGAATTGGTCACACCTGAGACATCGGAAAACTCAAAATGCAGCTTTATCTTAGTAAGAGAAGTAGTCCAGCTCAATACCTTCACGGTATCGTTCAATACCTTCAGGCTATGATGTCACATAAACATGACATTTGCTTTTAAAAACACTCATATATATATTAGAGTGATTAATATTAAATAGGTTCCATTATTCAGTTCCACAGAGGAATGATGTATACAGCCCACAAAAAATGTCAAACATTGGACATTGATTTCCATACTTTAAGGAAATCATGCAAAAAGATATCTATATAGCCTAGATTTTCATGTATATTGCTTAATATTTCACAGGCAAAGTGCTCACTTTCACTAGAAAGATTATATGATGTCACTGCTGAAAAAGGAGGTTATTTGCAGTGACACATGGTACTTTTTTCTGTTTTAGGGAGTTCCATATACCCTCATAAAACTGTATTTTCTCAGAATCAGAAAAGCATTATTGTTAGTCCTATCCCCCTTTCCTGCCAGCTTTTTTGTCTTTGGGAGCAGAGCAAAGCCAGATCATGAAGGATACTATATTTCTTATTTCCCCTCCGGCCGTTTAACTGGGGTTATGCTCACAGATTCATTCACAGTGCTGAACTCCAAGTATAGGATGTGCAGTACAATGCACGGGGGAAGGGAACTTTGGATCAAGGACAGATGGAGAAACCCTTCCTTTTTAGTAATACATGTAATGGCAATGAACAGAACCTTGATTTCAGCTCAAGCTCTAGAATATTTTACTACGTATTTGCGAAAATAGCTTTAGAATAAAAATCTGAAGCATATTTTTATTTCCTCATGGCTGCCATAAAAGAAATCAACAGTTATTATCTCAATAGTATGTAAAATAATACTTCCTATTTTAATTCTAGTTAAGAAATTAAGTACCATTCATTAAAGATTGCTGCCCAACATTACGATGTGGGAGTAGCAACTCTATCATGTATTTTTGATGTTTCATTTTGACTACCATGATAATAGCTTTCACTTAAAGACATCTATTGCAAATAACTGGTCAAAAAGAAAATTAGCACTGAAATAATAAAGTAAACCACCTTTGATGGGAAATGCGCCTGCAAGTTGACAATCAGTGGTAAATGTATCACATAAAACAGGATTTACAACTGAAGGGCGCTCACATGGAAACAGCTGCATGTGCAAGTATGTCTTTTTCACAAAGTTTTGCAATTAATTGCCCATTGCAAACATTTTGGATTTTTTACTATGTATCTCAAATTCTGAAGTCAAATATCTTTGCAAAGACTTTTTCTATGGGATTACCTCAAGCAGTCAGAGGCTATTTTGTGGCACAGATAAACATAGTCTGCCATTTTTTACAAGGTATAAGAAGACGACAAGCTGTGAGCACAGCTGCCATCCCTTTCTTACCTCTGGCATTTGAGGTCCAAGCTTCGTTCTTGAACAGTGTGATTATTACTACCATTTTTAATCCTAAAATAATACATTACATTTTTTCTAGACCTTTACTGAATGTAAGTTATTAGCTCAGTTACAATTAGTTACTTGTTCACTTCATTCAAAGCTCGCTATGTTACCTCTGGAAAGTCTGCTTTGCTCTGATGTATTAATATTCTACCAGATCTACAGCTGCTATAACTTTTATTGATCTTACTGAAGATGCTGATTTCCTGTTAATTTTCCTTTATAGAAGCCTTCTGCATTTATTTGATTATTGTAAGAAAAGCTTTGGCTTATCTTTCTTACCTCATATACTAAGCAACTGGCACGCAGTCATTAAAATGACAATATGAACTAGCACTATGCAGAATAAAAGCACTAAGCATTGAAAGAACATTTTTTTCATTCTTTTTTTTAACAAAGGCAGAACATTGCCCAACCCTGCTTGTCTTTTCTTTTACACCTATGAAGCATATCTATGATGCATAGATTTTTTGAATTTTTACCAAACAATTCAAAACAATTGGGTTTTTTTGCCCAGCTTATTTCAAATCGTCATTCTGTTTTCTTTTCTTGTAATGGTCTCAGTCTAGAAATACCATACTCAGAAAGGAGAATAGTGTCACGACAATTTTTGGTGTTAAAATCCTGTACAATAAACTCCTTGTAATAAAGGAGAAATAGTTTGGACTATTTATTCTGTAGCTTCAGATGACTACTACAAAAAAGCCTCTTCACAAATTTTATATTGTTTTAGCCAATTTTCAAAGAAAGAATTTGAAAACTGAATTTGAGATTAAGTTCACTTTGTAATTTAGGAGAAACTTTTGATGTAAGAAGTAATTTTGCAATACTTGTAAATTTGTCTAAAATTAATATTTCATTTAGTAATTAAAAGCTTATCTTGTCTTTTTGCATATCCTCCCCTTATGATAAAGTATTTTTATTAAGCGCTTAAAGCTTCTGCTAGATTGACAAAACCTGTTGTTTAAAAGATTTTTTTTCATATATAATGACATTTGCATTCTTCTAGGTTCAAATGATTTATTCAGAATTGTTTGAATGTAGTTATACGTGTGGAAAACTTTAATTAACAGCTATCTACATGCTTGCAATATTACCCAGAGGGCTGTACTTCTTTCTTAATTAAAAATATTTGAACTTAATAATAGAGAACTCTATTAAAACATGAATAAAACACTGCAAGCAACCAGGTCCTTAAAGTGTATGAAGTAGTTAGCAAATCAATTGCAGGAAGAGTTGGTTAAGCATTTTTTTCTTTACCAGTCCTCTGTATGAGCAGATTAGAAAACACTACTCTGTAAACTCCCAATCTAATACCCTTTCATACAAAACTATCCTGTCTCATATAATTCTTAAAACAATGAGGAGTGTTTCAAAACAGAAATAAAATAATTACATGCCCACAGCCAACAAAAAACTCTAGTGCTGTCTCACTGTAGTTAACAATATGTCAGCACTTCTTCTCTTGAACCTTGTGGGGACTTAGAACACTAGTTTCTTCCTGCAAAACTGCCCAGCAGATACACAAAAAGCTCTACATATGTATGTGATCAGAAAAAGGCCACATTCAAATAACTTATTATAATTATTTTAAAATTATTGGAAATATTCTTAATAAACATTAATAAAAATATGTATTTGACTTTCTGATATAAAAGTATGTTCACCTAGCACTTATAGAATAAACAACCACTGTTAAAAAGGAGTCAGTGGCGTGCAAATTTGTCTTCAAATTTTGACCATGGCCTGGTACAAAATGAAGTATCAAAGAACTCCAAGGAAAGGCTTCTGGATGGGAAAATTTTACTACTTGATGAAATCAAGTACGACAGCTAAATCTGCCATATACTTTCATCTTATATTTTACAGCAATACAACAAAGGCTGTAACTCCTGAGTTTCTATACATTGATAATAGGCTTTGTCATTGCAAAAAATACTTACAAGCAACAAATTACACGTGCAATACATTTACAGCTACAAGTGCAGTATGGTAATAACCCTAATGTCTAGTTTAGTAAACAACTATTTATCGAGCAGAAGAAAAATGACAGCCCTTTTCCTTCGTGTTTTACGACAAAATATCACAAAAAAAGTTGTAAAATATACCTAACACTTTAAAAACTTAATTGAAACCCACCTGCATAGTCTATATTTAGTTATGTTCTACAGGACAAAGTTGATCACTGCATTAAACACTGGTAACAACTTTTAGGAAGTAATCAGCA